GGGTTGGAGAGGTTTTTAGCTATAGGGCACATGCACTCGCCAGAAAGACAGAGAGAGACAGAAAGCAAGAAATTACCCCCCGGGGAGATGGCCACACCGCAATCCTTTCTTCTCCATTCTCCTCTCAGGATCTTGGGCCCACATGCACACGCACCCAGCATGAGTTTAAGCCACTGCGTATGGGACTTGCACTGTGATCAACTACATGGGAGTCCAATGACATAGCCATTACGACATCTGCTAGTGCCCATCTGGCATGTTTTTAAAGCTGCTGGGGATGGGACTTGAACCATGGTTAGCAATGTGGGATCTGGCTTCCTTAACCATCAGGCTATGGGACTGACTCCAAAATGTATTTCTTGAATAAAATGTTTGGACTTTTCTAAGCCTGTTTGCTTCCCCTTATAAGATGGGTAGATTAGAAGTGATGGTATCTCAAGGTCTTTTCTATTTATAACATTTTGTGATTCCATTCAAAATATAGTTGGAGAGATGTGTATATTTTGACTTCATGAAAAAAGACTGAAGTTATGATTTTGGACTCCATATATATCCACATCACAATCACTAGTTTGAGTCTTATGTCCAGTAATAATGTGAAACAATAGTTGAGAGATTGGAAGGACCTTTAGTATATACTTCCCCATGTGAAATTTCCGCTTCCACCCATGAATAGCTTGCTATCTCTTCACTTAGCCAAGATCCCTACCTTCATGTCTTTAAAACATGAAGCCTCTAACCATTTAAAAAATCTAATGTGCACTCTCCACTCTACTAAATCTTGCCTGACATAGAGAAATCCTTCTCTGGGGCTGGCAGGTGGTGTGGTAGTTAAGGGCACTAGACTCCCACATGGTTGACTGTAGTTCGAGTCCTGGACTTGGTGGCTTGCTTTTTCATTTTCCCTTTCTCTCTCTTCCTGGTAAAATTTTAATTAATTAATTAATTAATTAAAATAAAATAAGTTAATCCCACTTCTGAGCTTGTCAGGTGAGCTGGGTCAACCTCTCATTAAAGTTCACACAGGTGCTACTCAACTCAATGATACTGCCTTTGCAGTTAGGGAAGCAACTACTAACTCATAAATGAAAAGAACTGTACTCCCTGCGTAACAAGAGATTATTTTGGAGACAGTTGATAAAAATCATACATCCTTTTTATTGTTAAGTCATAAAGAGGTATCAAAATTAAAAGCAAAATTACAGGGTAAGACTTAACAAAACTACTAGGAGCATCAAAAGAAGTGAAATGGGACCAGGCGCAGGGCAGTATGAATTAATGGACATGGGAAGGACAAAGATGGGGAGAACAGTGAGCATGTGCTGAAGATACTAGGGAGAGGATCTGGTGAAAATTTTGATCTTAGACAAGCGCCTAGGTAAAGAAATAATGGGTAAGATTTCTAAACCCCACTATGTGCTTAAGAGTCATCCTCGCCATTGGCGCTGTCTCTGTCATCCTCTCCTTCCTCAGCCTCTTTTTCATCATCCTTGATCAACTCCAGCTGTGAGAAACAGACACAAATAGGATGGAGTTAGAGGCACTCCATGTGTCCCTGTTCCCCCCTCCACCACCTCTTTCTTTCCTTTCCCGTAGTTTTCACCTGGTCATCCCCCCGATCTTCATTATCATCATCATCCAGTAGGTCCCCCTCCTCAGCAGAGTCATCTGCACCCCCCTCAGACTCCATCTTCACATTAGTCTCATCTTTCTTCTGGGAGCTGCTGCTCTGCTCCTCTTCTGACTTATCATTCTTCACCTCTACTGGGGATGAGAAGGACAAGTCTGTCTAGGGGCAAATAATGTCCACAGGATGTAGACAATCCCCACTAATGATCATAGAACTGCAGCACAAGTAAGTCTAAATCCTCCCACACAAATGCCCTTCCCAACTCAAACTCCCAAGGCTGATTTATATCCCATTGTTCCAACATACACTTTCACCTATCTTAGTAACTAACCCAACTTTATCCACAACAAGAGACACCACTTACCTGTTTGTTTGCTCTGCTCCTTTTCGATTTTTTCCAGGTTTTCCAGAAGAGAATCCACTTTTTGTTTTATCTGGGTCAACTCCTTCTTAATGGCCTGAATGTCATCTCCTTTCACTTTAATAGAAACAGAACTCTAAATTAGAAACAATGTACAGAAGCTACCAGTTACAAAGTAAATTCTCAAGGAGACTGCGAAAGGACCCAAAAGGAAACCCTGGAGGAGAAATGAAGCCAATATTGAATGTCTCCATACTGGAGACGATATTAGCTATAGCGGAAAAGCAAATGTGCCTACTCAGAAGTAGCATTCTGACTTCGGCTCTACTTCAAAAAACTTTTCATGTTTGTCTGACTTCTACTTTACAAGGAGTTAAACATATAAAAGTAAAAATTTTATCAAGGAATAAATACTGATTGAATTAGTTTACATACTAAATAAATTTACATAAACAGGTGCCTTAAATTATATAGTCTAAAGTAACAAATTTATTCAAATCAGATATCAGAATAGAAGGTAGTCAAGAGCTGGTCCCTTACTACCTTCTCTGTTTACACTATTTTGACTGTAACGCAGTGTACATTAAAAACTGAACATCCGAACTATACCAATTTCCCCATTTAAGAACACAAGAAGGAACAGGATTACACAGCTGATAAACACATACACTTTCCAGACTTGGATGACGATCCTCGTTGTCCACTCTTAGAATTGAAGCTTTTGCCCCTGCGTGAAGTGTTCCCAGATACACGCTGGCGTTTCGAGGGCACTACAGCACGAGCAATAGGAGGTGGCGGTGGAACACGTGCTGGGTAACTGTACATCCTATTGGAGAAAAGGAAAAATGAATCCTTTCACATCTAAAATTAAGTGAGCAAGATTCAACAGTGATCTTATAGTAACCAATAACCATTAGGGGAGTCATTTCTTTATACTTACTTCATTTCATTCCAAAGGTAAGCAAAAACCTATAGTCTTGGATGAGATACATTTAACACTACACACTCTTTGGCTGGCCTTTATAAGGCATTGGACATAAAGGTTCCTGTGTACTACAGTAGTCTTGGCAGAAAATTATTTTAAAATAATGGCGGGACCAGCAGTTAGCATAATGGCCATGTCACTGTACTCCCATGTAGTTGACTGCGGTTCGCATCCTGGACCTGGTAGCTTAAACTCACGCCGGGCACGTGTGCGTGCGAGCCCAAGATCCCAAGAGGAGAATGGAGGAGAAGGGGTTGTGGTGTGGCCATCCCCCCAGGAGGTGATTTCTCGCTTTCTCTCTGCCCCTGTCTGTCTGTCTGGCGAGCGCACACGCCCTATAGCAAAAACCTCTCCAAACAAACAAACAAAAGAAACAGGCGAATCATTACTGCACCAGTGATAACTTCAAGTACTTTTGGCCATGTTGGGAGTCATGAATTCAAATTATTCAAAAGCTCAATCAGCCACTATTTCTTTACTATTAACTCATACTTCAAATCCAATGCCAAGTACACATTTAAGCACCCAATAAACATACACTGCTCCTCTAACTGCTGCTACACTTTTTCAATTCAAATCGCTTATGTTAATAGATTTAGTATCCCTGTGATGGTTAAGGATACACCTAAATAATGCCTTGCCATCTACTCTTTTACATTCGCAAAGAGAAAATTAAAACACTTGGGAATTATTTTTAAAAAATTTTCTACGTTCCACACTGCCGCTTTTTATGTAAAAGCCTACAGCGAAGCAGAAATCAAGATGTGTGTGTGTAGGAGGGGTGAGGTGGGATCATTTACTCTTGTTCTACATGTTAAAAAAGAAGAGAAAAAAAGGGAAAACCCACTAATCTAACCCACTGATCCAGACACTGTAGCACATGCTATGAAGGTGCTGTTTGACAGGTTAAAGCCACATTGGAGGTCCAGGATGAATGCCTGGCCCCACATGATCTAGCATAATTCACAGCTATATGGGAGGCTGAGGCAGGAAGACTGTCAAGTTTCTGTTTATTTTTTAAAAAGAATTATTTTACTTAACTTTATTTATTTATTTAAATACAACTAGAAAAGGACAGAGCAAGAATGCAAGAAAAACAGTATATTTAACTTTATTTATTTAAATAATTATTTTAACTTTATTCTTTTACTTAAATTTGACCAGAGAGGGCCAGAGCAAGAGAGTAAGAGCAAGAGCAGCAAAGTGAGAAAGCAAGCCACTAGATCCGGGACTTGAACCACCAAGCCAACTACCGGCCCCTAACTCTGTTTATTTAAATTTTATTTGTTTTAATTTGACTAGAAAGGGAGATAGTGTGCGTACAGAAACAAGCCGCCAGGTCTCGGACTGGAACAGTGGTTGACCATGTGGTAGTCCAGTGCCCTTAACTACCATGCCACCTGTCAGCCCATGGGTGATTGCAAGTTTAAGGCTGATCTGGGCAATATAGTGGTATCTTCACAAAAAAAACATGTATAAACACTGTGAAACAAGAATACGATTTAATGAAGTAGTATTTAGTACTAAGACACCCAACACTATTCACCTTGAAACATAATAGTTCCCATGTGCATATCATGTGGGTAAGTACAAGTTCCCAAAGCATTTGTAATTCAGAAAGGCCTTCGAGCTTCTCAAGTTTTTTTCTCAGTAAACAAGTAAATACCAAAACATTAATCTGTCAACTAATTCATTCAAGGGGGGGAAAAAAAGATCACTATTACTTTCTCTCTTCTCTTTTTTAAGTAAGAGAACAGAACAAAAGGAAGAAAAAGATGAAGGAGGTAAGGTAAGTATTTCTGATAATGTCTTACTATACTGAGATTCTCCTGTGCCAGCCTCCTAGTTAGCCCACAATCAGGAGCCTGGCCTGCTCAGGTTGGGCTGAAAACCATTCCCAAGCATCTCATCTGGCTCCCACCATGGCACAGTGATACCTTCTCAGTAACGAGACTACACATGTATTAACTGTGTAGAGTATTGGACCAGGTACTTGAAAAACAAGCTGAGAATGTGTGTGTTCACCCAAAATTCCAAAAGCAGACAGACAGAAAACAGTAGGAATTATGGTAACTATTCTCCATGGGGGATTGCTTTCTCAAATTCCCTCTCTGGAAAAAATTCATATCCTGTCAAAAATTAAAAAGCCAAAACCAAATCCTGACTTTAAGTTGTTGTCTGTTTCTTTGTTTTTTTGGCTAAAGGGTGTGTATTTGTGAGAAACAGACAGCAAGATGCAAAGAAAAGAGTAAGAAAAAGAAAAAAGCTCTCCCATAGAAAATAGTCATGTCCCAATACCTTCTTCATCTCTCCACCTTCCGGCATGCTCAAGCTCCTGGGTACAGAACACCGTTTGACCAATTGGCTACCTTAACCTCCAGGGCACTGAGCCAGCCCAAAGATACTGTTATTTTAAAGGTTTATTTCTAGGCCAGCAGGTGGCGAGGAGGTATAAGTAGTTTGAGTTGCAAACCCAGTGGTTGGAGGGAGGGTAACCCACATCAAGCTCAAGACTCTGTGTACCCAAAAATCCCAACAAAAGGGATAAAAAGAGACTGTGGTGTGGCCACTCTTCCATCAGGCTGATTTCTCTCTCCTAGAGAGCACACGTGCCCTACAGAAAACCTAAAAAAAAAAAAGGGGGTGGGGGGTATTGAATGGAAGAAGCACCCTGGACAGGGTTATTCTAACATACCTCCACAGCTTCTTACAGCCAGCAATGATCTGTGTATGCCCCTGTACAAGCCCAACATGTCCAGGCAGACTCAGAGGTTAACTCAGCCTTCCCATATGGTTTATAAAACTGCCGTGACACTACTCTGACATTATGATTGGGCCAAGGATACTTTTAAAGACAATTTTGGGAGGTAAATGACATGGAGTGATACTTAAATCTTAAGGATGAAACTAATCTCAAGCCCTTGCCCAGCTGGATTTAGAGATCTAACCAACCCACATACTCTGACTGGCCCTGGCCTCCAAACCAATGACTGAGCCATTCCACACTTCCTGGAGTTCAATACACTGAAACACTAGTTCATCTGACCCAAAGAAATCACAACAACCCAAACGAAGCATTAAATATTTTGTCTTCAATATATGTAATAGTCCTACATATATGAATAGCAAATGCTAATTCTAAAGATTTCAAAGTATCAACGGATTGTTGTCTATGTGTGACGTAAAATTGCTATTCAGGAAAAACTGGACACTCACCCACAATGACACTTCTGAGAAAGCATAGATAGACCTTGCCTTATAAAATGTTAAATGATTGTGAAAGTAGAAACGCGACACTGATAATCCTTAAGGCCAAAGGGATAAGGATCTCAATAAAACAGCTTCACAAGCCAGCTACATATTCACTAAGCATTTTCTCCATGGGAAGGCAATACAGTAAATCGGAAGGCATCAAGAGTTACCAATTTCCTATTGATTATTAAGACCAAAGATTTTCAGCTACACAAATGGCAGGTGAAAAAGCTGCAAAAGCAGGATACTAAGGAGAAGAAACCTGAAACCAAGAAGACTGGTGCCAATGGCAATGTTAAACAGGGTGACCTCAAGGGTAAAAAGCCCAAGAGGAGGAAGCCCCATTGCAGATGAAACCCAGCCTTAGTTCATGGCACCAACAGATACCCCTGATCTGCCATGTATTCCAAGAAGGCCATGTACAAGAAGAAATACTCATCACTAAATCCAGTATTGAAAAGAAAAAGGAGATTCTTGCCACTGTCACAAAACCAATTGGTGCAGACAATAATGGAGGTAGCAAGTCGTTGAACTTTGCAGTAAACATTTAAAAAAGCTGAGAGCTAGCATCATTCTTGGGACCATAGTGATCACCCTCACCCAATGCCAGAGGCAAGAGGGTGGTTTCCTGAAGCAGCTGAGCAGTGGCTTGATACCTGTGATTGGACCTCTAGTCCTCAATCCAGTTCTACTGCACAGAACACATCAGAATTCTGCCATTGCTACTTCCATCAAAATTGCTATCAGCACAGTGAAAATCCTGAAATACCTTACCGATACCTACTTTAAGAAAAAGAAGCTGCAGAAGCCCAGATACCAGAAAGGAGAGATATTTGAGACAGAGAAGGAGAAATACGAGTTACAAACCAGCACAAGTTTGATCAGGAAGTTGTGGACCCAGGGCTGGCAGGTGGCTTGCTGGTTGGGGACACTGAACTGGCACATGACTGACCCCGTCTCAAGTCTTGGACCTTGGCAGCTTGCCTTTTTACTTTCCCTCTTTCTCTTGCTCTCACTCTGTCCCTCTCTGGTTAAATTAAAAATAAGAAAGTAAATAAAAGTTAAATAAAATAATCTTAAAAGAAAGTTGTGGACTCATAAATTTTATCAAAAAAACAAAAAAAGCTATTCCTCAACTCCAGGGCTCCTTGTCTGCCCTCTCAAATGGAGTTTATCCTCAAATTGGTGTCCTAAATTTCTTGAAAAGAACCTAATTAAATAATTGATCATAAAAACAAAAAACACAGACTAGACTATTAAGGCTTGATGAGAGGGCCATCATTACTAGAGGAAATAGATAGCACCAAACATTAAAGAAATAACCACATCACTAATCAGAAATCTGGGAGGATATAAAATCCAGTCAGAACAAAAATTAAACACCTACTGAAGAGAAATTAAGACATTTCTAAAGACATATTAACTAACTACATGAAAAGATTATGACAAAGAACATGTACTATTTCCTCTACTTAACATGTTAAAATATAAGCATTTATAAGGCATTTACTAAAAATACAAGTCTTCAAAGGTAAGCTTCTCAAAAATGAAGACTGACCGTAAGAGACAAGTTCTAACAGTTACACTCC